ATAGACAACAAAAATGGAAAAAAAAATATTTGTTAATTTCTTAACTTAGAGTCTATTTTGATTAAAGACGTTTTTTTCAAGAAAAAAACGTTGGTGAAATAACAGAAAATAATTTAATTCAGAAACGATTGAATTTTAAAATTGAGTCGATATTTTTAATTCAAGATAAATTTTATGCACTAGGATAGGACATACCACACTACGTCTTCACTTTAGGCTTACTATACCAACACTTACTACACTTATAAGGTTTCATGGAACCCTCCTTCACGGCCCCGTTGCACCCCCGTTACTAAACTCGTAATGGAGCTATTCTATCTGCTTAAGTGCATTTTGGCATTTATGACTCCTCGTGTTTCGAGAAATCAAGTGTGACGTTACACACATTGGCTTTTAAATAGCTTAGATTTTTTGTTAGTCTATCTTTGCAAATACATATTGGTTTTCATGGTTAATGTTGGATAACAGTATATAGAAAGTCATTATATGTACCTGTGAATTACCCCTGAGTATTGTACCCTTCACCTGCTTTCTGAAGTATATCTGCCGCTGCTTGTCCAAATATTTTATGATCACGAATTCCATCAATGTTGCAAAAACGAATAACATGCAGGTAGCCATCCATATGTCGATTCCCTGTAAAAATAAAAAAATAAAAAATCATTATACAAACTCGGCTGTCTAGTTGGCTGGGAAAATAAGTATAGAGATAGGCAAAAATAAAAGGTCCGTTAAGTAATCAAATAAATGACATTAAAGACAAAACAGCCTTTCTTACCAGCTGTATCACTAACATATATCTTAGCAGTATTGTTCTTAAGTAGTAAATAAGCAGAACATGTAATTTATATTCGCCGTAAGCAAGAGGTTTGGTAACATAAAACATATACTTAGTGACAATAATATATTATCGTCATCAGATCTGCTGCCCTGATTTCATATCTTATTGTTATTTTATGAAAAGACGACGGGGGACTTAAATAAAGCTAGTCGTTCTGAATATATAGAAAATAAGGTGTATATATATATATATATATACTTACCTAACTATATATATAC